AAGTTTGTCTGCTTCTTTTGCAGGGGTTGGGTGACGTCGGAATGCCGAGCTCTGATTAGTTCTGAATGAAGGATAGTAATGGTGGGTGCACCTCAAAGCAGCTTTCTTTGAGGTCTATGCACTATCCTTCAATCAGGGCAAATCGGAGTTTGGCGTTCCGACGTAACCACTACCGCTGCAAAAGAAGCAGACAAACTTGTGCTCTGCATAGCTTTAAAGAGCCTACTATATTTGAGTTAATCTTCGTATCAAACACAGCCAATACTCAAATATTTCACAACATTGCTAATTGTTTGCCTGTTCAGATAAGTTACTTATAGTCGGTGACAGGTCAAGAACGAAGTGGAAGCTTCTCCCAGCTCTTTCCACTTTAGTAGAGCAAGTGCTGGGGAGGAGGCGACCTCCTCTCCAGCATTCGACTTCTTTCTTAAACTGAAATTTGGATTTCACAAAAACAATGCAGGAGCGTTAGGCGGGACGCTACAGTTTCTACAACACCACTCGCAAGGCGATATCTCGAATGGACGGCCGTATTTTTGGAAAAAGAGGTCGAGACTGAACGAGGCCGACGAGGCCCGTAACGGGAACTTATCTCGTTTCTTCCTCTCTTCGCTTTGCTGCCTCAAGGCGGCGAGGTGGAGAAGACCGAGGCCGTTCCCTCTCCTTCTCGGAGAAACAAGACTTAAACGTATCTGTCAAGTGCGCCTCCTTTTTTTTTTTTAAAAATAGCGTCATCCGTTCGAGATATTGTTGTACAAGTGATGTTTTGGTGTTTGTAGCATCCCGTTGCACGCCTTTGCCGCCTTATTTTCTGAAATCCAGATTTCGGTTTGCATCCCTTTAAGGGCACCAGTGGGAAACATTCTTTTTATTATTCATGATAACTACCGTAAATTAAGTTTTCACAATTTAGAGTGCTTGATTTCCTCTTTATAAATATAATGTTAGATTTGATATAGCCTGTTTTTTTCTTGTTCTGGTTGCAATGCACATGCAGAAAAAACTGTGCTCTTATTCACAGTTAGAGCATGGCAACAGACTAAAAGAGCCTAGTAAAATAAACTTATTCACTCCTTTTAAACCATTTAGTGCAGTGAACTACAGAAATAATGTGTGTCAGTCTTATTTGATTTTAAAATAAAATATTTCACAAAAACACCATTTTTAAAGGCTAACAGATCTTATATTTTTCATAAATATTAAAAAAAAAATTTAATTCTACCCAAACCTGTATGAATTTTATGTATTCTAAAGTACAAGCATGCCAAATTTGGTTGTGATAGGACAATGTTAAGACACAAATTTCTTCTGTGCAAACTGTGAAGATGAACCAAAATTACATAAAGAGAAGAACACGTTTGAATGTTACCGCAATTGTGTAGCGATATTCTTTTGCGGCGGAAAATAGTATATTTTGTTTCATAGATTTTTGTTAAAAATTGAAGCTACAGAAGACTGTGATGGAGAGGGGGCGGCCAGGCCTGCTTCTCAGCGTCAATGGCGTGGCGGGCATCGTCACAATTTAAAGAACCACATACAGAAAAATGGCTCAAATTTATGCCGTTCGGGATTGCCGGGTGGCCTTCAAATGCACATTTGACTGATTTCATGATCATAACCAGTGCCTAATATTTTTATACATAAAGTATGAAGATTAAAAATAACAAATCACACTTTTCACATAATATTGCCATTTTTCGACCTGCATCTCCCCTTAAAAGGGTACTCCACAAATTTTTTCATTGGCTCCGATTTGCTTGAAATTCTGCTAAACTAACCAACAAACATCGCTAAAATAGTACCCCAAATACTGGGTCAAAATATTGTTTTTTTCTCAAAGTTATGAATTTACAGTTTTGGTTCTCACCGTGTTTTTCAAACTGAAAGTCTCTACTGTCAACAACAAAAAAGTGACGTCAGTGGAAGGCAGGAGTTCACCCTTTGGACTGTAGAAGTTGTTCCCAACTGATTCGAAGCAGTTTCATGGTGTCAAATGAATGCTTTGGAAACTCCCTCCAGTACCCGTGCTCCAGCACGGAATAAATAATTAGCATATTCTTTTTTTAGGCTGCTTGCTCGACTGGCAAGCCTGCCTGCCACTGACGTCACGGCACTGAAAAGTGTGTGTATATTTGAATGTTGGTTTTTGCATTATTTTCATTTGCCGATTTCACAATAATTATGAATTTCGCGATACCAAATAGCATACCGGAAAGGCTAAAGGCCGTGGAGTCAGAAAATATAGTTAGTTGAGGTAGCTCAAAAAATCTGTGCAGTACCCCTTTAAGTGTGCCTCTCACCCAAGTCATTGCGATTCTGCCTATCTTGCTTCGCCACAATGCAGCAGCATTCTAAGTGGGAAAGCAGTCTTCTAGAGTGGTACAATCCATGTGAATGTGGTGGGTAGATACAAAAAAAGAAAAAAAGATTGATTTATATGGGTGCTGATGTGGCTACTCTACCTAGGAGTGGAATTTTCACAATATAGTAATAATGTCTAGTGCATGGTGATACCTTCGAGTTATGCGCATCATATTTAGTTTTCCTTATTTGTAACTTTAAAAAAAATGCTTAGGTATAGCAAAATAATTACAAAACAGCCTTGATTAGCTGGAGCTGTGCAGTATGAAAGGATTCATTTTTGTGCCAAATTCCTTGCTTAGTATAGACCATTGTCTGTTCTGCTTCGTGGGCACCGCCATGGTTGTTTGCGCTAATGCCATGACACGGGCGCTGCACTTCCTGCAAGGCTCCATTTTTTTTTTTTTTTAAGCTTTGGCAGATATTGTGGTGCGAAAACGTCAAAAATGCATACCATAAAATCTTGAGAGATAGACCACCTAACATCAAGAGCAAATCGGTTGACAATATGGAGTGGGCTAACTTTCAGTGTACAATCAAGGAAAGTTAAAGAAATTGCTATTTTTAGGTTGTATCCATTACAAGCTTGTTGTGGTGGCGAGGGGCAATGAAGCAAAGACGACTGTACTTTTTAGTCGGCAGCAATTGCTTATATCCCACCATAACGAACTAGCCGCAGTTTTGCCAAGGCCATCATTGATCCCAACACTACTATTACTAGAAGCGGGCTATCTTTTGGTGTTTTAAAAAATTAACAAAATCAAGCCAAAAAATAGGGGTAACCTATCTCGGGATTTTATGGTAGTCACGAAGCTCCAAGAACAACGCCAATGCCAAGAGTGCCGTAAAAAGTAAAAATCTTGTTTTATGTGCAGCCCCTCTCTTTACAAGAGCATGTGCTTAAGATTATAATTCCACATTTCTATCGCTGGGGGGCTAGGATTTCGGACACTGGTCTATAGTTACCACGCCTATATAGTCCTCCAACTTTCAAGGGAACCGTAGTACGTAAAAAAAAGTTTGGCTCCTCGCAGAGCTTTACTAGTTTCCGGCTTTATGTGGAGAATTAAGATATATGTAGGTGCTTTTATGATTAGATATCTGTTATTGTATCAACACATACATGTTTCAAACTCCAAAAGCATCGCTCCCTCCTCTGACAACCAAATTTTGTAAGAACTAGTTTGTGCGGCGTATAAACAAAGCGCGAAACTTGCTTTTTTTTTTACTTGAAAACAAGTATGAATATTTTTTTAATTGGAATATTTATTGCTCATATACTGACTTTGCATCATCACTACAGTTGGTCTGCATAAGCTGCCTTTGATGTGGGTAGTACTGCAAATGTATATGTGTGTAGGGATTAAAATAAGAACACCGACTTCACATAACAAGAAAAACAACTTCATTAAACATTTCGCCTCCCATGCGGGAGGCATCATCAGTACATACACAGGAATGAGAGAGCTTCGGTCAACGCAGTCCTATTTATCGGGAAGGTCCATATAAGCTTCCGGGAGGGGGCCACGGTTCTTGTTGCACGCCGTATTATCTCTGCGGATGAACCATGACTCAAGTAGTTTGCGTGGGCCCCACCTATCCTCCTTCGCCAAGGTCGTCGCGGCTGTGAAGTCAAAGGTGTGTCCTGTGGTCCACGCGTGGTCGACCAGCTCCGTCTTGAGACGGGTGGCGTTCGTGGAATACTTGACGTCACATTGGTGATCTTTCATCCTGGTTATCTTCTTGCGTCCGGTCTCCCTAATGTACGAAGAGCCGCAGTCCTGGCATTGGGGAGACCGGACGCAAGAAGATAACCAGGATGAAAGAACACCAACGTGACGTCAAGCATTCCACGAACGCCACCCGTCTCGAGACGGAGCTGGTCGACCACGCGTGGACCACAGGACACACCTTTGACTTCACAGCCGCGACGACCTTGGCGAAGGAGGATAGGTGGGGCCCACGCAAACTACTTGAGTCATGGTTCATCCGCGGAGATAAGACGGCGTGCAACAAGAACCGTGGCCCCCTCCCAGAAGCTTATATGGACCTTCCCGATAAATAAGACTGCGTTAACCGAAGCTCTCTCATTCCTGTGTATGTACTGATGATGCCTCCCGCATGGGAGGCGAAACGTTTAATGAAGTTGTTTTTCTTGTTATGTGAAGTCGGTGTTCTTATTTTAATCATGACATCTCCCGGCTTTTGGACTATTTTTGCGTACATGTGTGTAGTACTTTTTTTTTTTTTATTTTGTGATCTCTGAGGTTTTATTTCTCAGCAATTGGAAAAGGCAACTAGACCAAACCTTCTGAAGGATGTGTGGACTATAGCATGTAAAAAAATGCTTTGAACCTACTTTAGACGGCCTGCAAAAGACTCTTTCTCTACATATCGCGCTGCGAGTTACAACCAAGGTGCAGATATGTGGTGGAAGTTGGAGTGAAAATATTGATTCATATTTTCAATCCAGAACGCTTTGCCTAGGGGTAGTGAAGATCGGGATAAATCGGGTAGTCAATGAACCCCTAGGTGTACTCAGCAGGCTCCCCTAGTCCCTGAGAATCCTGAACGCATGCTAATGTTAAGAACATTCAACCATTTATATATAATAACGCACATACCTTTCCCTTTTTCAGTGGACTGTTCTTTGAAAAGCATCTGAAATTCATTCAACTTAACAAGAAGTTTGTGCCTTTTCTTAGTAAGGATCTCTCCCATCTGAAAAAGGTAATCAAGTGAAACATTCAGCATTATATTCTTTCTCCCCGCACAGTGGCATGCACTATAGTCGATGACAGGTCAAGAACGAAGTGGAAGCTCCTCCCACCCCTTTCAACTTCAGAGGGGCGAACGGTGGAGATGTGGTCGCCTCCTATTCAGCGTTCGGTCTACTAAAGTGGAAAGGGGTGGGAGGAGCTTCCACTTCATTCTTGACCTGTCACCGACTATAATAACAAAACCAGCTTTCAGGCGGCTAAGTTGCATTTCATTGTGTTGCAGGACAATTACGATGTTGCATTTGTGAAAGAAGTTTATGGCTGTCCGTCGGTGACCCTGACACAGCTGTTGAAAGGAAACCTGGACACAAAAGGCCCGGTGCGTGTCACTTACAACAGCAAGGAGCTGTTCAAAAATATTGCAAAGAAACTTGCCATAATGGATGATTTCAAGGTGAGTGTTGCCCAACCAGTTGTGGACGACGGGTCGGGTCGGTGTGTTGCTCGGCACTTCATGTGTCCTTCTCCTAACAAATCCTTTCTAAAGTGACAGCATCATATGGATGCACTCCACAGACCTTGCTTGCTTGTGTTGGTGAGGCCGTGGAAAAGTGTCAACAATGGAGTGAAGTTGTTGGTTGGACGGCGTAGCCCTTGCTACTGGAAGTATGGTTCTTGGAGCACGTCTCCGACTGGTGTGTTCAGCGTCCTGTCCCGCGTCCTGTCCCGCCCACACATCAGAAGTGGTCCCGAAGTGGCAACAAATGATGTTGCAAAGAGCCGGAGTGTTGTGCTGTCAGATGTCGCGATCCTGGAAGTCAGTCGCGGTATGCCGGCGAAAAGCACGAGCAAACACGAGCATTGCTGTATTCACGGCGTCCCGACTCCTGACTGCCGAAGCTTCCGTGGACTGTCACACTTTTAGTGACCTGCTGCAGAACAGGCATCTGCCACATCCAACAATGCCGCTGGGGCACCGCCAGGATCCCGACCGGTTACAGCACAACACTTTTATGACGTCACCAGGAGGAAATTGAGGGACCACTCTTCTGGACGCGGCAAACACACCGGTCAGGGAGACGTTCTAGGCGCCATAATAGAAGTGAAATGTCTCACGACTTCGGGATGTCGCGGGGCACCACGAGGTCACCCCACATCACATAATAGTCACCATCACAATGTCACGTCACAGTGTCATGCAGCACGGCGTCATGTGAACACGTCGCACAAATCACAGTGTCACGTGACATTGCACTGCTACGCGACGGCAGAGCCATATGATGCGACGTCGCCATTTGCTTGCTAAAATCAGTGAGGAGATACCTCCGCCAAATTCCGATGGAAAGAGCGGCTCGTTAAACACCTTGTCGAGCGCCGGCGCACCTTTACTGCACTCGACGGAATGTCTAAGCCGGGCGAACTTTGTCTTTCAGTCCGGCGTTCCGAGGACAGGCTACCGTGGAGTGGTCTCGATGATGTTCAAGGGCCGACGCGTCTATGTTGCCCCGCCCGCCGATTGGAAGGGCTACAACAAGTCGTGGTCTTAGCGACTGTCTGGTCCGGCAGACGGACTCGACACATGTTTTGTAGGACAGCGGCTTGTGGTCTCGGGAGTCTGGACCATGCCTGAGCCTCCAGCTCGATGGAGTGGCCGGCAACGTCTCCCTTTTTTTAAAACCGGACGGAATTGTATTTCTCCAGGACTGAAGAAAGTGCGCGGTGCGTGTTGAAGTGATTTCTGGACGAGCGACGGGAAGGAGGTTTGGGAGGTCTGGTTTCACCCTCCCTTATTGCTCCTGTTCAAGTTACACAGCGTACCAATGAGGGGACGTCACGAACATCACTTAATGTAATCCTAGTACCTTCTGGTGCTCCCTGCTTCATTTCCGGTTTTTTTCTAAGCCAAGCACGCAAGGTGCAGGACTGCTGCAAGTAACTGTGATTTCTCATCATATATATATATACCTCTACTCTCTGTTGTTTGAATAAACATCGTCACTTGTTTCCTCGGAGGATTAACTGCCAGGCCGCAATGGCTACATGCTAATCTGCCTGATCGCACTCCTGCGTACCTGCACCTGTTCAGGGTAATGCATGAGAAACTGAAGTATGCATGTGGTGCTTGGCCTAGATTGAAGTCCAACCCTCTTCCTTTCATTCCTGTATCGCTAGGGTTTTTTTTTTTCACCTACATTTGCAGATCTGTGAAACGCATTTTTATATACGAGTTTTTGTTGCTCTCCTTTGGCTTTTGCTGTGGGCCCTGTTCTGTTTCTGCTCCAATGCTATAGCCGTCTTCATTTCCGTTTGTGTATATATGTTACATAAAACTTTATGAGGAGTCCTTTGGCAGGCTTGAGCAATTGTTATGGTGAGTGGATTTTAAGTGTTTATCCCGTTTTTGTATTTATTTGCATTAAATTACAGTTCTGTTGAGATTAAAAGATATTTTTTCAAATCACTTTTGGTTTGTGCAATGAGAAAAAATGCATTCTGTGTGCCATTTCTTCATTTATTTTATGTGCATGTTTGTAAGGGGAATTTCTACGATCCTTGAGAACGATCTTTTCTGTTATTTGCGAGATGTGGAAGTTATTTGTGGCAGGACTGAGAGATGTTCTACTGTTAAATTGCTTTCTGCAATATACGATAAATTTGTGACAAACTTTGTTGATAAATAAATATAGTGTCGGTCTTTGTGCGGGCACTAAAATGTAACTTGTGATTTAGCTCATCTGCTTCCTGGTGCGCTAACTAGCGATCGACGCTTTGTTGTCAAAGCTACTGAGTCACTGACATAGACTGAGGACAACATAGAGTGTCTTTCGAACACCTCATGCTGCATGCCTCCCGCTTTGGCTGCGCGCACGGTATCGAGGTGCACAAGACGCCGATCTTTTGTGGAAACATAGCCTCTCCTATGCTCACAAAGCCTGGCAGTTCGACGACGGAGCCATAGAGTGCCCGGTCGCAGACTTGGAGCGCGAGGATCTGGTAGCAGAGAGCATTTTTCGGGGAACCTGGTCGTCAGCGCACAGCTTGTGCAGCGGCGAGGACCCGAAACATGGTTTTCAAACCCGACCAAAAAAGAAACTCAGCGCGAAGAACGCGAGGAGCACGAGCGGACATTCCGTCGCTCGGAAGAAGCGCAAGCGCGCGGTGCGCCCGTTACATGACTCCCCTCATCCGTTGTCTGGCCGCGTCTCGTTGCGATCTGCCAGGCTTTGTCGGTATGGAAAAGGCTATGGCACAAAGACTCCGATCTTTTGTCAAAGGTAGGAAGCTCGCGCTTGAGGCGGGACAGCCGAAAGCTCGTGTCATACGTGTCGACAGCACTTCTGGGCCAGTTGGTTAATTATAAGCTGGACAGGCGATAATAATCCCTGGAGAAGGGGAACAAATGGCAAACAAATTTTGAACACTTCTGTGCTCTTTGTTCCCCTTCTCCAGGGATTATTGTCGTCAGTTAGTCGAAGTGGTAATATGCACATTGGTGCTATATACAGGGTGTATTTTTTTAAGCTGTACAGATTTGTTTAAAAAAATCCGTGACAGCTACACTTGTGTGGTTTGTGCAGGTGGACATTGTATAAAAGGATAATCGTAGCGATCAGTCGGTTAGTTAACAATTCTTAATTAACTTTTTTAATTGGTGAATATAAGCATGTGGTTCCAATTAGAAACTTGCTGGGTATCATCGGAAACCACTAAATAAGCTCTCTTTATAAGGTTACAACAGGGGCAGCATTTTACGGCGGTCCGTAAAAACGCTTCATTTTAACGCCTTTCTAGATTTCGGTGTCTCGTCGGAGCTCATCTCTACCACCGCGGTTTTGCTCCCCAGTCGCGCAATACACGTACGCCATACTTCTCTCCATTTTGCGAGGGAGGGGCTTCGCGCCTCGACAACCGGGGAGCAGGACCGCGAAATCTAGGAACGCGTCTAAATTGATTTTTTTTTTTTTTGAACGCTGTAAAATGTTGTCCCTGTCTTATATCTTCCTAAAAAGAATTGATTTAGTGGTTGTCAAAGATGCTTAATAAGTTTATAATGGGAACTATCTGTCTGTTTTCACTAATTAAAAAGGTAATTAACAAATTATACTTATTAGCATGCTGATAATTACTATTAGTATGTCCCCCGGGTCGTATAACTCGCCCGCACAAACCGCGTGAGTGAAGCTTTCACGGCTTTTTTTTTAAACAAATCTAAATTTGGCAACGAGGTGTTTTGGTGGCGCCACCTCGCGAGAGCCCACCTATGACGCAGCTGGTAGGATGCGAGCAGACGACGCGCTATGTCAAAGCACGGAGTGGCTATGTTAGTTCTTATCGATGTCGTTTAAAAACGGTTTATTTATTAAAGAAACGCGTATAACGTCTTTGTAAATGATCTTTCTAATAAATAACAGCGCCTCGAAGTTGCTATTTGTAGTAGAAAAACTTTAAAATGTTCAAAAACAATATTTTGCTGCCGAGCAAATGCTCAACAACTGACGTTTTAGCTCCTGAATCGTATACGTGGCAAAGAAGTTTGTCACATCGCGACAGTACGGGTTCTTTCGTTACTCTCGCTCTCGGTCACCTTGCGCCGTCCGGACTGCCGGGTCCGGATGGGGTGACGGGCTTCGTTGCAGGAAGCTGGGCGGGTCTTGCCGGAGACGAAGTTGCTTCCCTTGGCCGTCGATGACTAATTCAGTTGAATTTCAGAATTACTTTTCAATAGAGAATGAAAATAGAAAGATAAACAATACTGCGAAATGATAACTTCCCCTGTACGGGGTTGGGAACGAGGTGGTCGGGTGTTAGCTTATCCAAGCTCGGGAGTTGGCTGGCTCGTGGGATTCCGAGGGACAGAAGTCCCTCGGAATCCCACGACCTGACTCGATTACGGAGCGACAGCTCTCGAGCCCCAGCACAAACTAAACTCACTCGCTGAGTTTCTAATGGTGAATTCCACTCGTAGATTTGGAGCGCTTTCCAAAATCCGCGAGGGAGGCAAAATTCCGCTCCGTGGGACCCGCTCCGAATCGACGAGGGGAAGATGAATTTGCATTTTTGGAGCGACCTCCCCCACACGCCTCCCCACCCCTTCTCCCTCCGCCGTACAAAATGGCCGCTGCTCGAACTTGACAAGCCCACCAACGCCTCAGCCGGCTGATCTTTCCGACGACCAGTGACGATTGTCACTGCTTAGCTGCAGAAGTAACACGCGACACAGGCCGGGCGAAATTATACGTACCGCGGCTGCCGCGGCGCGCATGTCACAAATAACGAAGACGTCCGCGTTCGGCACCGTCACATACCTTTCGGCCGCCTCGAAGCGGCGGGGCACGGACATGCAGCGCGATTGCCAGCGGTGGAGTTCAGATTTGTAGTACGACTTTAATAAACACAGGTAACAAACCATCACTTGCGCGGTCGTTGCCTAACCACTTCTTGCTTTATTTCACGGGAAAACGCCGACGAAATGCAGTGTAAAAAGGTAAACAATCACTGGCTGCAGAATGAATAGGCCTAACCTTGCGTCTGCCTCCGGCTTTTCTGTCGTTCTTTTTTTCGTTCTTCCTCTCACGATCACAGACGTCAGCGCTTACGATTTGCCACGCTCCACATTCCCGGCTTTTTATCTCTGATCTACGCGAGGTAGAAGCGTTCGAGCTGTCACAATCCAGAGTAAACAACCGACGCACCCGAACAGATCCGACTCCACAACCCGACCGGCCCGCCGACGCCGCCGATCTCTCCAACCTCGCCGCGCAGGCGCACCGCCGATTTAGACGGAAGTCACGTGGGCCGCTCTGTCAGTTTCCGGAGAGATCCGTGAAACCCCGCAGAGCAAGTTCGGCGGAGTTTGGGGCGCTCCGTGGAGCGGGCGCTGCCAGAGATCTACGAGCGGAAGATGACCAACTTGAGCCAGATCTGCGAGCGGAATATGCGCGCTCCAAATGGAGCGCTTTTGGAGCGCTCGAGATCTGCGAGCGGAATTCACCATAATCCAAGTTACTCGTTGGTCCGTCCCCTTTTAGTGGACCGGCGAATCCTCGACGCGTTGTGAGACAGGCGTTTCCCACCGCCAACCAATCGGCTCACCTTCTTGCCACGTGGGAATTGCCTGTATTCCCGGCTGGGAACCCGCGGTCTGCGTTCATCTCACGGTCAACGGTCGGGCTGGCTCGGATGCAAGCAAAGCCATTTCTCGCATGGCAAAGCGGACAACCGAACCCAGTGTGGATAGCGCAGAGTGAGACATCCCGCAATTCATTCTGCCAGAGGCGGTCTGACGTTGCCGTTCTGCTGCGACCCCCCACACTCGGGCGAGAAAGACTAAACCGATGTAAACACGCCGTGTAAACAGCGCCGGCCAGAACCACTGCGTTCTGGTGGTGGTGGTGGTGTAACTTTATTTTCCCGGCCCGGAACGCACGCTCCGATTCTCTCGGCAGAAAACGCGCGTTTCGAACCTCGCGTCGTAAAGTACGCCTGTCTCTCGAGGTCGCCCGCCAAGGGAAGTGTTTACAACAGCGCTTTTCCCCCAGCCAAATCTCCCTGGTGCTAACGGCCCCCCCGCGGAGCTCTCGTCGATCCTTACAGCGACTTTTGCTCGAAAGAAAAGCAGACATTTTCATAAATTCTTAAAGGGCAACTCCGCTTCTTTTCCAGTAGTGCAAAACTATACAGTTCTCTTTGTTATCCCCTACAAAACCCCCATGGCAAATATTACGACGGAATTCCACCTAGAAGTTCATTAAAATCGCTGTCAAAGTTTGACAAGCACGAATCCGCTGGTTTTGGATGAGACGTGCGGGCCAGACAACACTGCCCGGCTGCATTTCCGCTTCCTCCAAATTCCTTCTCCCGGCACGTCCGCGACGTCATCAAGCATGTACAGCTTCTTTTTTTTTTTCAATTTTGTTTTCTTTCTGGGGGAGAGCACGGGTGGCGCCAGCGCCGTGAAAGACGTGAGTGACGCACTCGGCCGGCCCGGCGCTCGACTATTGATACTACTGATAAGCCGATCGCCTCGTTGAGCGCGGCTTGTGTTACATCGCACACTTTTGAACACCAAGTAAAAGGAGGAGAGGGCAGCTGCTTTTGTAAGAATTTTGAGTGACAGGTTAATCTTCTATAATCTTCTGGGAGGAGAATAGCGACGCCTCTGCAAATCCGCAAGGCACAAAGATGAATCCTGATCAGAGGGGAGCTCCTTCTTCCCCTTCACTAAGCATGTACACGTGGGTGTACATGCTTAGTGATGTTGAATATACAATGTTGTCCGGCTTCGCTACCGTTTCAGTTTCGGTTTGTGATCATGGCTAGAGTAAAATTACACGAAAAATATTTTATTTTTCGCGAAACAAAGGATTGGGGATTGTTTTTGAGTGCTTCAAAAAGCAAAATCGGCCTCTATCTCAAAATTTTTGAAATTAAGCGGAGTTGTCCTTTAAAGGGGCCCTGCAGTTAAGAGGGGGCGCACCTCAGAGCCCCATAGAGAATACATGAGGTTTTTCACCAAATTAAAAAAAATTCTCACATAATAACGGCTGCGCGGATCTTCTTGAAAATTTCGGCTTTAAAGACATTGAATCATTATCGAGACACTAAACGCAACAGATGTTTCGTCATAAATTTAATTATATTCTTTAAAAAATCATGAAAATGGTCAAAATCGGCTAATTCGGCACTCTTGCGTTCGGAGCGAATTTACAAAATTATCT